TCTCTCGATGATGTAGATCGAAGAATCTGCTTTTTGTTGATGGTTTCTTTTTCAAGGATCATTGTATGAAGAGGTTGGAAGGTAAGTTTGACAGTGTTTGACGACGATTCGATCACATTTTCAGGCTACCAAAGAACGAGATCTAGTTATAGGTTTAAATTCAGAACGATTTCTCTCCGGTATAAATAATCTCTCGATAATGATTGCACAAACCAGTGGATAAACATACAGATGTTTGTCCACGGTATGCGGTGACTCATATAATCCTGAAACCGGTGAACGTATGTAGAAGGTGATCGAGCCCTCCTCATCTTCATAAATCAGTGTCTACCCTTTATCTATCTTCCATTTGCTCTGCGCGAAGCTCAAACAAGCTCCAACACGGTACACATCCCTCGTACAGATCTCACAATCTCGTCTGATCGGTGTATAAAGCAAGATCAACAGTCTCCTTGGCGCTAGCGTTGCGAAACACCGATAACAGGCTGCAATTGCCCCCATAAAATCGGAAAATAAAGATCCACGTTGCAGTTAATCTCTCAGCGTCGTGCAGTTAACTCGACAACCACAGCCTCCAGCACACAGTACGTCTGTTGCATCTTGGTTTTCGCGCCAAAGACAGCTCGATAAACAGACGCGAACTTCGCACGTCGAATGATCCCGATCCTAAAATTATCGATGCACGGCTCCGACGATGTTTTAACACGCGGGTCTCTTCGCGATTTTAAGGTGGATAAAAGCAGCAGAAAGGGCGACGAAGGATCGTTGAAACATCACGTAACGTCTAAGTTAGGCTAGGCCCCTGGTGCACCGTCTCTTTCGTAACGTTTGCAGGATCATTGGTCGTCGTCCAACTTCCAAATTAGAACAGCTTGGTCTGTCATTCGCTCGACAATGCCGCGATAGATCTGGCAAATTTGTCCAGGATGCCTCGCGATAGGATTTAGTAGAGCCTCTGTGTGTGTGGTTTCGTTTGGAAGCTAGGAATGATTTCGATGTTTATCCTCGATTTCTGTCAGGTAGAGATTTACATGATCACTCTCGTCTCGTCTGAAATTTCTCAGGAAAGAAGAAGTATATGTCCTTTCCCGTTTCATTCAGTGTTTTCTATTATTCTATAAACGTACACCGGTGTGTGAAGAGTATGGCTTTATCGCGACACGTGCCCACCGTGAGCGCAACAACCGTAACAACGCGCTAGTCCCCCGCTTTAGAGCGACACTTAATCCTTTATCAGGCGCGAGTAACTGGCATCGAGGCGAACGATTGACTAGATTAACCTTGGAGGATGTCGTTCATAAGCGAACCTGAAATAATGGCCGCGACTCGGGTTGCATAATAATCGACGCCGCGGCGTGGTTCGTTCGAGAGTGAAAGCACGTTCTCGCCGATGCGAGTCGGCCCGCATTAGAATCGTTCCCGCTCTCGCGACACCGTTACGAACCCGCTTCGTAATCTCCGCTACGTGTACACCGGTGGATAACGCGACGGAACTCCGTCGTGTTTTTCGTCGTGTAAAATGTCGACGAAACGAAGAGGATTTTTCTTTTATTTTGGAATGATTGGGAAGAGGAATTGAAGGTAGAGATGGAGGGATCTAAATAGAGATGGAGTCCATTTTGGAGAACAGAAGCTTTTGCCTCGAGAAATTTAATAAGATATTAAATGCCATATTTTGAATTTCAATGAATAATTTTTTACCCTTTTAATCCTATGAGTCGATCTGAGTCGATTTAAATCGATTTGAGCCGATTTGAGACGATTTGAGTTGGTTTGAGCCTGTTTGAGTCGATCTGAATCGATTTCAGCCGATCTGAGTCGATCTGAATCGATTTCAATCGATCTGAGTCGATTTGATTTAAGGCGATTCGAATCGATTTAAGTCAATTTGAGGCGATTCGAATCGATTTGAGTCGATCTGAATCGATTTAAATCGATCTGAGTCGATTTGAGTCGATCTGAGCCGATTTGAGTCGATTCGAATTACGCGTGAAGAATTTTTCAAGCCGATATCGGTCGATTATTCTTCGCCACTTTTTAAACGAGAATATTAAATCGTTATTCCGTAATCCCTTACATACAAAAAATTTCATTTAAAGATCTCAAAAACTGTGACGACCAGAAGTTAATAAATCAAATCTACACAGGAGTCTCACACCAGGATTAAAGGGGTTAATTAAACCTCGAACGAAACAAAGAAAGCACACTCACAAAAAAACCTAGAATTCCTAGAAACACCGAGTGAACAGAAAGAAAGAAACCCCAGGAAAAAAAAAAAGTACTCTATTGAGTAACCAAGAGAAGCGAGATGCTCTAACGAGCCGAGATTAGATAAATCTCAGAAGAAAGACAGGCAATTACGGTGGGAATTATTGAAGAAACTTAAGTACACGTTAAATATCATTTATTACACTCCCTCTCTTCAACTCTACAATAAAATCTAAAGGCAATCTTATCTAAGTAGATTGCAGTTAGAAATCACAAAAAAAAAAAAAAAGAAGATAATTCCTCCGATTGTTACTTCGATAATTAACAAACACCACTTCGTCCAGTTTAGATATAATATCAATTGTACACACGACTGCTAATACAAACAGACGTATATATGAAAAATGGAGAAAAGAAAAAGAAGAGCAATTCTTCGTCACTGGTTGGTGTTACCATTCATCTAGAGCCAGTCCACGTCGTTTCCCTCGTTCAGACGTAGATAATGATTGCCGCGTAGAGCACCTGTGCAATCCGTGGAATATTTCGGTCGACGTGATCTGCGTAAAGCGACCGCAAATACGGGGGAATGTATTTCGGTGGGTTGACTCATCGGTTGCCTTCGTATCGCTATTTAAAAGCAAAGCCGATCGTCGCCGCGGTTCCCCGATGTATCGGATCCAGTTATTTACCTTAGCCTCGCGAGATAACTCCTCGAACGATTTAACACGCCGCGGAGCTGCCAAGACTCGCTTCTGGTATCATTAAACATTGTCTCGAAACCTGACTTCTCTTCTTCTTCTCTCCTGTCTCTTCGTTGCACTTGGTCACTTACTTCGCCAACTCTGTTCTATTGTTTCCACTTTCTTTTCGGTGAATCATTGTAACACTCTCTCTGCGCCTCTGTGTGTGCGTGCGTGTGTATATCTATCTGCGAAGTGTGGCTATTATTAATCTTGTGCATTTGGACGGTAGCTCTGGCTTATTTTTGCTCCATCGAGCGCAGAATTTAGAACTTCTAGCGGGGAGGGGTCGCGAGATAATAATTCTATTCTTTTAGTATCGCGAGTGGAGATACAGGAGGTTTATACGCTGGTTTAATTTTATTTTATTGCAGTTTGCAAATTTCTTTTTAATTCAAAATAGCGTCTAGTTAGCTGCGATATGTTGAAAATATTTTCGTTTTGTTTGAATTATTCCGAACGTTTGAGGCAAACTGACGACCACCGACGGACGGGTCAGCGTGGCGAGGCTGTTTTAATTTTGACACAAGCGTATGTAAACGGGGGGATACGTGTTGCAATGAAAACCCGAGAAATCTGTTCTCGGAGCGTGAGTTCGTTAATCCGTATCTCTCGTATCTCCCGCGAAACTTTCCTCGCCACGTTTCACTCGTAAATTGACAGAGTTAACGAGGAGATAGAACGGCAGTGCGCGGCGCGTGTGTGCACGCCGCTTTATCTCGGTTCATGGAAGCCTAGCAATAAGGAAGCGCGAGATTTCATAAGGCATAGAGGAACAGGGCAACTGACTCACTGATTAGGCCTTGCACCCGCTAAGTATCGAGATTCGTGCATGGTTCTCTCAACGATCGCTTTTCTATGCAGGGTCAAGAGGTCGCGCTGCCATTCGTCGCGAGGTATCGTTGACCCACGCGTTAGATCCACTACGGGTTGCTTGTGATATAACGCTGCGAGATCTATCAAGTGGAATTTGACGAATATGAGACGTAGCGTTGATACGGGGAAGCTTTTGATTATTGTTTCATTTGGGGCGAGGAGATCTCTTTTCGTTTTTGGATTTCTCGATTTTTCTAGACTTCGAGAAGGCTCCGTTTATTAATTTGCAATGTGCAGAGCCTGCCAGTCCTTTGTTGTACTTCCCCGATTGCAGGAAAAAATTCCAAACCCAAGCTCCATCCCCAAAATGCAACCCTTTCTAACTTTTTTAAAGTCTCCATTTATTAATTTACAGTGCAAAGTGCTCATCCGTCTTTTCTTAACATTTCTTTCATTGCTGCTCGAACCAAAAAATCGAACCATCCCCTAAAATTCAACCCTGAATCACCAGTTCCCTTTGAGAATTCCTCGTAATTTTGTAATTACGAGAAAATTCCAAACCCAAGCTCCATCCCCAAAATGCAACCCTTTCTAACTTTTTTAAAGTCTCCATTTATTAATTTACAGTGCAAAGTGCTCATCAGTCTTTTCTTACATTTCTTTCATTGCTGATCTACCATCGAAAAATCGTCAATTGTATTAAAAAAAAATCGAACCATCCCCCAAAATTCAACCCTGAATCACCAGTTCCCTTTGAGAATTCCTCGTAATTTTGTAATTACGAGAAAATTCCAAACTCAAGCTCCATCCCCAAAATGCAACACCCTCTAACATATCAGTCTTCGTTTATTAATTTACAATGTGAAGAATCCATCAGTCTAAAATTCCTCATAATTCTCTAATTACAAAAAGAGTGAAAAAATTCCAAACCCAAGTTCCATCCCCAAAATGCAACACCCTCTAACATATCAGTCTCCGTTCATTAATTTACAATGCAAAATTTTCAATGCAGTATTTTCTCACATTCTCCAAATACTGCTCTATCACCACAAAACTCCTCACAATTCCCAAATCGCCGATTGAATTAAAGAAAAAAATCTCCATCCCCAAAAATGCAACCCTAAATCACGAATCCCCTCTGAACGCAAGCACGAAACCCCGCGGCACCTTGCAAACCACTCTAAAATACCCAGGAGAAGAGCACGTGACGTCTGACGACTCTCTTCTGATCCGCAGCGACATCGGGCTCGCGTCTCGATATAACCGCGACTGACGTCAACAAGCCCGCTCACCAGCTCCAACAACAACAGTATCATCATCATCATCATCATCAACAGCAGCACCAGCAGCAGCAGCAATCGTCCTCATCAATGTCTACTCTGGTGTGCTGTGAGCCGGTCTCGGCCGCGCGTTCCCGGGACAATCTCAAGCTGGTATTGAATCGTAGCCTGAGCGAGCCAGGTCCGCCAGCCAGCGCGTCCACCTTTCTGTCCTCGCCGACGTCCACCGTCTCGCCTAGCTCCTCGACTAGCAGCGGCGTCGATAGCTGTTTAGCAAGCGACGGTACCGAGTGCAGCTTGAACGCAAGCGGGACAAGCATCAGTGGATGCAGCAGCTCTAGCAGCGGTACCGACTGCGAGCTACCTCTCTCCGACGTTCATCGACACTACCATCATCTGCATCATCATCACCATTTCCATCAGCATCAGTTGTCCGCTTCGAAACGTTGCAAACTGGAGACTGTCAGCCTGCCAGCTAGCCCTTGCTCCGAGAACAACACGCTGCAGAAGCAGCTGGTACTTCAGAGAACGAAAACCATCACCGCTGACGAGTTGGCCGATCGTCTACTAGGACGTGATCATCCGAGCGGTGGTCCGGTGTTGTTGGACTGTCGTCCGTTTATCTTGTACAACGTGAATCATGTGAGAGGAGCAATCAACGTGAACTGTTCGGATCGGTTCAATCGAAGGAGGCTGCAATTGGGCAAAGCTAGCCTGGCCGATCTGGCTACGACCAGAGAGGGCAAGGAGCTGTTGCGCAGAAGACACTACAGAGAGGTGGTTGTCTACGATGATTGCACCGACGACGTCGATCGACTACCTGTGCAGCATCCTTTGTACCTTGTGCTGGTCGCGCTGTTGGAGGATAACAGGGAGCCCGCTCTTCTTTTGGGTGAGTGAAATTTTTCTTCTTCTTTTGTGTTTTTTTATTTCAGAGGCTTTGACACGTTCGCTGCTGTCGGGAAATTTTTGGGGAGATTCTGAGTGATTCTCTGGTAGGCGTAGAATCCTCGCGGTGATTGTCAATCTTATACAGATCGTATTATTTTCTTTGTCTTGGCGATGACCGACCGGTGCACGGTGGCTCTGTGTCGACAATGCTTCGACGATGGCAGCGAACGTGTTAATTCAATGGAATTTGTCGCGAAGAAGGTTTCTTATTGGGAAGATGAGATCGATTTCGCATTCGATCTTTGTTAATATTGTTTTATCGTGGCGATGATCAAATCGATACACTGTCGAGGCAGTGTGCGCGGTGATTCTGTGTCGACGGTGCTTCGACGATGGTAACGGACGTGTTAATTAAATGGAATTTGTCGCGAAGAAGGTTTCTTATAGGGAAAATGCGATCAATTTCGCATTTGGTATTTCTTAATATTTTTTTTATCGCGGCGATGATGAATGCATACGCTGTGAACAGTGTGCGCGGTGATTCTGTGTCGACAGTGCTTCGACGATGACAGAAAACGCGTTAATTGCGTGAAATTTGTCGCGAAGGAGATGAGATCGATTTCGTTAGTCACATTTCGCGACGTGTCTCCACCGACGTCTTAGAAATCGACACTTTTTCACCGGCAAGGATAGATACCGCCAAAGAAACTCTCTCGAGTTTATATTCGTTGTTTGTTGTTTATGTAAGATCACGTGGGAGCGGCTGACTTTCGGAAATAACGATGATGCTGTTTCTCCGTCGCGAAAGTCGCTTCTGCGCCTTTTCTCTCCCTTCCTGAAACGTCGAATCATCGCGCTCCGGCTTTTATTTGCGCGGGCTGTGCTAAAAATTTACGACTCGCGTACCTGTCTCCCCAGGAATTTCGCCAATATTACACACTTATCGCTCTTCCTTCTTGCGCAATAATTATTTCCAAGCGTTGTCAATTTCCAACAAAAAAAAAAATTCACACTCTAGCGACTCGAACGAGCTGCGAAGCCGGGAAAACTGAATGGAAAACGCGGAGGAAACGTGGGTGGGAAAGATTGCGTATCGACAGTGGCTCGTGCTCTTCTGCCTGTCCGAGGCTTCGAGTAACAGTACTCTGTACTCCACTAAACGCGTTTTCTCGCCTCGTTCCGTCGAGATACGCCGATACGTGCTCGTTTTACGGAATGCGGCTACCGGCGTGTACGAACCGCGATCCATTGACGGGACGTCGAGCATTCCGCGCGTCCACTCTGTCGTTGAACCCTGCTTCTTGCTCTGTTCGATTCATCCTTCATTTTCCTCGCCAATTTCGTCTTTTTTCACATTGAAATTTCACCTACGTTGTACGTGCATCTATCGCGACAAAAGTCTCACTTCGTTCGTGATTGTTTATCGGATTTAACCCTTTACACTCCTTTGTCGAGTGCGACTCGACGTCGGTTTTATTCACAGTCTCACTCGACATTTCTAAATTGCCTGTTTAAATATGTATTATATTTCGCAGTATTTTTTTTTACACTGAGATAAACAATATTACGTGTATATGACACTTTTTCAGTAACAAATAAAATTGTTAGAGAAAAAGAGGGCAGAAAGGACAGTGAAAATAATGCGGAGTTGTTGGAAAGAAAATTTTTCAAAAATTCCGAGTGTAAAGGGTTAAATCTCTTTTTGTTTTTTTTTTATAAGTTTAGTTGCGTCTAAGTTGCGTTTAATTTGCGATCGTTGGATTTCATTTCCATTCGATTTACACGGGAAAGAAGCATGCTTGTTGAAAAATTCGATAAAACGTGGAAGGAAAATCTGCCCTTGCTTTCTAATTTATGATCGCTTATCGGATTTAAATTAGACACTGAGAACGGAATGTATTCTTCTTCTGATAATTTCGCTGATTAATGCTCCGCTTAATTTACGTATTGCTAGATTTAATTTGAGTTACGTTGAAGAAAAGAAAAAAGGGACGTGCATCTTAAGAAAATTGACGAAGCGTAGAAGATAGAAAATGTTTCTCGTACTTTCTATCTACTGAATAAATAACACTCGTTCACTGGTACGTGTTTCCGAGATGAATCGAAAAGGCAGATAAAAAGCTGTACACTTGTCGAGCTGAGATACTTTATGTGAAATGATCACCTATCTTTAACTCATTAAGTAAAATTTTTCTATTTTACGCGTGGCAATTTTCCACGTTTAACGTTCGTTTGTTACTTGACCCTTTACCGTCGAGACGTGCCGTCTTTGGGGCGTACAAAATTGGAGTCTACGAAACTTCGGTTAGTTTAGACATGAGTATAGAACATTTCTGACAACTTTTCTTACCGGTTTACCCTTTATCACACATCTTTCTAAGGAACACTACAGAATAGAGTGGTTGGCGGCATTAATTTTATTTTAACACTTTGTTACCGACTGGGGAAATTTACCATTTCTACCATTCGCTACGAAAGATACTTTAGGCTCGTGTTTTATGCTACGAAATTTCATTGCAAAGTACTGTCAGATGTAGTAAACCATCGTTAATTTTCTTGGCACAGCTTTCTTTGCCTATTTTTTTCAAGGAATCTTTTCAGCAATTCTAGACGGTAGACTTTGCGGTCCTATGTCGACGTAAGAATTTTTGCCTTCGGATATCCTACAATGATAAACGATAACAAACCATTTTTTATGCGTTAATGTTGTACCGAAACTTAGTACTTCATAGGTAATATCACGCTGAAATATTGAAATACACTACCGGCCAAAAGTTTGGAATCACCGAGCATTGCAGTTTACAAAAAAATTTCCAGAAAATGGTCAGCGACTTTGAGAATTTTTTACCATTCGAATCAATTGATACGAGATAAATTGATAAATGTAGAATTGAGATAAACTTGAAATCTATAAAAAAGTAGCAAAAGTGGGAGGTGATTCGAAACTTTTGGCCGGTAGTGTATATAGGGAAACTACGCGTACTGCCCCGAGAGTGACCAAATTAGTGCAGAATAGACTGATTTGGACCGCAAATGGGTAACACTTAAAGCGCCGCAATATTTACGAGTGTTGTGGAATCATGCGCTTTTACAAAGTGAAATAAAATAACACCTGTAGAACAGAAAATTTCCATTGAAAAATTTTACGTAGTGCTTATTACAGGCACAGCGACGATTTTTAAGCCACTTGCTGTTCGAGAGATACAATATTCTTCTCTGCACAAACATGTAGAAACGCATTTACAGTCCACACATTACGCCTTGAAGCGGGTCCGGCGCTTAAAATATTAATACAACAGTGTCGAGTTCTAAATAGAATGGAAGAGAAGGAAAAAGGGACAGCCTCCGCCTCGACAGTAGAGCGTTAAATCCATGATTGACCAAATCGAATCGAGCGAAGACGCGCATCTCTCATGCATAACGTGTGTCGGTTAATCAAGAGCAGAGAGGCGTTGGTTGTCGTCACGAATTAGTCAATCGTCTAACGTTGATAACGCTCGTATTTTTCCATCTCAAGTGTTTTCCGCCTCTCCGTCTACGTTGTTTGTAACGCAACTCTAGCAGATCCTGATAAGAACGCCGTGTCTCCACTAGGTTCTCTCCTTCTCTCTCGAGTAGGTATGTAGTCTGGCTAGTCCGGAGTTAGAAGAATACGACGCAGATAGTAAGTGTGGCGTCGTTGAACGTGGTAAACATTCACGGTTCTAGTAAATTGCAGCCAGCCGCTTAGAACATGCGTCAGTGACGCACGCGTCATGAATGAAGCTTCGAGAGTCGCGGCGAATTTTCCACGATTAGACTCTCGCGTGCTGCTGCGCCGATCTTTTAGACGTGTTCGCAGAAGAGGTTGCTTGACGACACGAGATGAAATATGATTGAGTTGGGGGGCAATTGAGCTGTTGGTTTGTTCAATTTTTGGGAAGAATGAATTTTGCACGAGGGAAGATAAATTTGGGAAAATTTGGATCGAACAAGTATAGTTTGACGATCGTTTTTTAAATATGAAGGAGGTTTAATTTGTTAACTGAGGTCGTTCTTAAAATTGAATGCAATTTTTGTTCACTTTCGAAACACGAAAATTGTAAAATTGAGATTCAACGAGTATCAAATGCAGTTGATATCTAATCATTTTCGAAATATGAAGGAGGTTTGATTTTTTAACTGGGTTCGTTCTTAACCCTTTGTAGGACTGAGTGTCAAGTCGAAGTACTGATTACTTGTGCAACACGTAATTAGGTCACTATTTCAGGTTTTTTTTTTTAATTAAATTATATCAAAATTACATTTCTCTCGAATATAGTGCATGAGTTCATGGTCACTACTTCAGTTTTTTTTAATTTTTAATTAAATTATATGAAAATTAGATTTCTCTCGAATATAGTGCATGAGTTCACTGTCACTACTTCAGTTTTTTTTAATTTTTATTTAAATTATATGAAAATTAGATTTCTCTCGAATATAGTGCATGAGTTCATGGTCACTACTTGTCACTACTTCAGTTTTTTAAAATTTTTAATTAAATTATATGAAAATTAGATTTCTCTCGAATATAGTGCATGAGTTCATGGTCACTACTTCAGTTTTTTAAATTTTTAATTAAATTATATGAAAATTACATTTCTCTCGAATATTGTGCATGAGTTCATGGTCACTACTTCAGTTTTTTAAAATTTTTAATTAAATTATATGAAAATTAGATTTCTCTCGAATATAGTGCATGAGTTCACTGTCACTACTTCAGTTTTTTTTAATTTTTAATTAAATTATATGAAAATTAGATTTTCCTCAAATATAGTGCATGAGTTCACGGTCACTTCGATTATTTTTATATTTGTAAGAAGCTTAATTTGTTAACTGGGTTCGTTCTTTAGTCAGAAATTGAATCACTCCAAAGAGTGCCTAATTGAAAATTGGAAATTTTCTTGCTCGGTTATTTCATTTTGCTCTGTGCAATAAAAGTTGACTATTTGCCGATAAATGAAACGTATTTTAAATACTGAT